GGCCTGAGTGTTGAGGGAGTGAGGACTATAACAGAGAGAACTATCATTGTCTCTGCGGACCGGCATTGCCCTAACTGGACCCCAGAATGGCAGTTATTGGCAAAATTAGGGTGCCAAGTTAATGGCTGGCAGGATTTGGGTGTGGCCCATAGCACGTGCCACCCGTCCAGCCTCCTTTTGTTCATCAAACACTGACCCATGCCAGGCCCTATGACTAGCCCTGGGGAGAGATGATCATTAAAATGTGTCCTCAAGTGCTCATCGCCCAGGAAGAGAGGACAGATAAGACACTGAAAGAGCCTCTAGAGGCCCAAAGAGCTTCCTGTTTCAGAGACAGGATTGTTCAAGCCGTACTGGGCAGATCCAGGATGGCTTCACGGAGGAGGTGGTGTGTGAGCTGTGACTTCAGGAGTGGGTGTCCTTCCCTCAGTGAGGGAGCCAGAAGAGGTCATTTAGGGAATGCAAACAACAAAAGCAAAGGCACAAAGGATGAGGCTAGATGAGAGCCAAGCTGCACCGAGGTGATGAAACCTGCCGGAGGACATGGGGCAGGTTACTGAGACTCACGAGGTCAGATATCGAAGGTCTGATCTGATCTGATGAGCTGTGGAAAACAATGGAAGGTTTTTGACCGGGGAAAATATGACTAGAATGCTTTCTAAAGAGCACTGTGCAAAAGGTGTGGAAGAAGGAGCCAAACTATTCCAGAATTAGAATAAGCTGGACTTAGCAACAGACCACTGTGTGTGTGTGTGTGTATGTGTGTGTGTGTGTGTGTGTGTGTGTGAGAGAGAGAGAGAGAGAGAGAGAGGAGAGGGGAGGGGAGGGGAGGGGAGGGGAGGGGAGGAAAATATGTCTCTGAGTGCCTGGATGAGGTGACCAGGAGGATGACTGGATTTCAAAGAGAGATAGTTGGTTTGAAGGGGTTGGTAGAAGAAGACAGTTTGAGGGGCCATACTTTGCTATTTTAAAGTAATTTGGTGACTAATTCATTGAGGGTTGTAGGACTGAAAAAAAGCATTTTTTATTTTTATATTTTGGAGGGAGACACCTAAACTTGAGCTTAAAGGAAGAACTTGGTGGGGAGGAAAGAAAAAATGTTGAGCAGAAAGGAGTGATCCTGGGTGGAGCAGCTCCTAGAAGACAAGGCGGGTGGGCTGGGGGCTCCGGCAGAGCATGTTTCCTGGGAGGGCAACTTCCAAACTTGGGGACACAGTGAGGAGGAGGAAAGGGGAGACAGAAAAGAAATAGATGTAAACATACCTGGAAGAGATGGGTAGAAATAAGCCCTTGGTGAGTGTCTGCTACAATGCCACTTTCTACAAACAAGAAAAATAGTGCTGAGAATCACCGCCCTGTGTCCCATCACCCTCTGGCTCTCCGGGGCAGCCGCTCTCTCAGCCATTTCCCCGCTTGATACTGCCTGTGTATTTCTAAATTAGACAGTTTTCTATATAAATATTATAGGTAGTATTTAGACGGTCTATAGATTATATTTATCAGCTCCAGGTGACCTATCTATTGGGCTCTCTCACATCTCTCCCTGCGTCCCCTGCTCCCACTCCCAACAGTTACACCACAAAATCAAGTCAATTCTTTTAAAAAAATTTTTGATTGACTGATTTGAGGGAGAGAGAGAGAGGAAGGGGGAGAGAGAAACGTTGACTTGTTCCACTTATTTGTGCATTCTTTTTATTTATTTTTTAATCTTCACTGGACATGCTTAGAGAGAGGAAGGGGAGAGAGAGACAGACAGACAGACAGACACAGACATTGATGTGAGGGAGAAACAGCAATCGGTTGCCTTCCATATGTGCCCTGACCGGGGGCTGAACCCACAGCCCAGGTATGTGCCCTGACCGGGGATCAAACTGGGGAATCAAACTGGCAACCCTTCGGTGCACAGGATGACGCTCAGCCAGCTGAGCCATTCCCGCCGGGCTCAAGTCAATTCTTATGCTATTATGACGAAACATGATTATGTTGCTTTTTGTTTTACTTTTCTCCGAACTAGCAGTGGTGTTGCAATATTATTTGCTAGGTTTCATGTACCTATTTTGGATTCTTCTCACTCTTCAACACTCTCTTGATACAATTTTCCACAGCATAAAATGTGTCCTGTTTGTGGACTCCGCTGTTGAAGATGAGTGCCCTCCCTCGTGGAGCCCCTCTCTTCCTGACCCAGGCTGGGCGGCTTGTTCTCTAGACCCTCGATGACGCTTTCCACCTGAAACCTCCTTCACTGCCACCCAGACATTTCCTGACCCCTTGCCTGCCGGAGCCCTTTTCTTCAGGTTTCTTTCTTCTATGGTTTACTCCCTTGTTCCAACGGAGCACATTTTCCAGTAGTTTTTAAAGAAACAGCGCTTGAGGGAGAGTTTGTTTTGCTCAGAAACATTGCATGTCTGAAAATGCCTTTATTCCGGTCTCACAGTTGCCAGACTTCTTTGGCTGGCCATGGATTTCAAGGTTAACAACGATATTCCCTCACCGTTACAAGGCATTATTCTCTTGTCTTCTGGTTTCTAGCATTGTTGTTGAGAAGCCAGATGATCCCCTTCTCATTTGAAAAGAATTTTACAAATTTTTCCCCCTGAAAGCTTGTGGGATCTTCTCTGTATCCTCAGTCTTTTATTCAATAATTGTGCTGGGATCTTTTATCTTCTCCAGTTTTGAGAAATTGTGTATTTGACCATTCTCTCCTTACCACCTCATCATCCCTATATCCCAGTTTTCTCAGAAAAGACTTCTGGGTTGACCCTCTAATTTTCTTTTAAAAAGAAATTTTTTTTCTTTATTGATTTTAGAGAGAGAGGAAGGGAGAGGGAGAGAGAGAGAGAAACGTCGATGAGAGAGAATATCAATGGGCTGCCTCCTGCATGCCCCCCCACTGAGGGTTTGGCTCACAACCTGGGCATGTGCCCTGACCAGGAATCAAACTGGTGACCTCTTGGTGCATGGGTCACCGCTCAACCACTGAGCCACACAGGCCGGGCATACCCTCTAATTTTCTTTGATTTTTTTTTTAATCCTCACCTGAGGATATTTTTCCATTTATCTTCAGATAGAGTGGGAGAGAGGGAGGGAGGGAGGGAGGGATAGAGAGTGAGGGAAACATTGATGCAAGAGAGACACATAAACTGGTTGCCTCCTGCATGACCCTGACCAGGGACAGAGACCAAACTGCAACTGAGGTATGTGCCATTGACAAATCGAACCTGTGAACTCTTTGGTCCACAGGCCAACGCTTTAACCACTGAGCCAAACTAGCCAGGGGGACCCTTTAATTTTCTTATTCCCTCCTATCATTCATCACTTTATCTTTCTATCTTATCTTCTGAATGATCTCAATTTTTATCTACCAAATCTTTCATTGAATTTTCTTTTTTTGGCAAGCGTATTTTTAGTCAGAAAAGGCTCATCTTCATTCTCTAATTAGGTTCTTTTTATACCAATCTTTTCTTGCATCTTCGATGGTGTCTCCTGTTTCTCTGAGAATGTAATGTGTTATCTTTTTGCATTGTTTGTTTCTTCAGAGTTCCTTTTCATTAGTTGCTTGGATGACTTGTTTTGGTCTTTGTCTTTCATATTGAAGGCTTTTCTTGCACTTCAGGTGATCTTGACAGTGGTTCACATTTAAAGGTGAGGCATGGACAGGGTTTCATGCCTGGAGTCAATTGGAAGGTTCCTCCTTCTCTGACCTGAGGTAATAAGTGTCCTGGGAGCTGAGCAGGGGAAAGGGGCTGGGAGCCTCCTAATTCAGTCTCTAGACTTTGACTTAGTGTTTTCACACTGTTCTGTCCTCCACTATGGCTGGTGTTCTCGTGTCTGGAATCCCCCTGCTGTTCTCTGTCTAACCCAGCCCTTCTCAACCAGGGTCCTGACGAGAATCAGGCCTGATCTGTTCCGCTGATTGGCATGAATTCACTTCCTTGCATCTCGAATGGTATAAGCTGTGATCACTTGGCTCATTCTCTGCAGGGCTTAATTCTCTCATGGAGCACTGGTCAGGAAAGGCTGTTTGAGAAACAGCCCGCCTTGGGGTGGAGGTGGATGAGTAGCCTGGCTGTGTGGTGGAGGAGAGCATGTGTGTGATGTGCCATAGTTACCTAAGTGAGCTTGAAAATCAAACTGGACAGTGGGTCAAAATGCAATCACTGATTTTGCCAGAACATAATTTTGTAGCTTTGGAACCCGGCACCATTGGGACCTGAGGAGGGGGAGGGGGAGGTGGCTTTTATGGGTGGTATCCAGCCAGTCCTGGTTATTTTTAGATGCTTATGGGCCTCCAAAGGAAGGCTAGTTCCAGGAAGTCATTTGTGGAGGATGGGCGGCAGCTTCCTGGCGGTGTCACAGCACCAGCCCGAGCCGGCAGGGAAATGGGCATCAGGGCTCCTCTGGTGGAAATCCCGTCAGTGATCTTAAGGCTGTGGTGAGAGGAAGGGGTGTTGCTGCTCCTGTGGAGCCTGCTCTAGCTGCAGGGGTGGCCCGAGTTCCCTGAGCCCTGCTTGGGTCGCCTGGGCATCTGTATCCAGGCCCTCAGCTTGTGAAGCTGTCCACAGTGACCCCAAGACTAGCTTGTCTGAATGTAAGGTCATCTGTGGCAGCGGGTTCCTTTCAGTAATTTTGGTACATCTGAGGTATCACTACACAGTGAAATCAGGAAGTTTGTGGTGCAGAGCCAAGACAGTGGCGCTGTGTGGAGAGCCATCACGTAAGGCGGTTGAAAATCCCCCTCCCCGGGCCGGGGCCTTTCACCGGCCTTCTCAGTGGCTTCCAGGCCACCCGAGGTCAGCTGGGCCGCCCCTGCTGAAGCTGCCGTCGGGCTGTCCCCACACCGTGGTGGCTGCCCTTCTGTTCTTGGCGCAGTGCCCATGACTGCTGCCACTACTACGGGGACAGCCACCCAAGGGCACCTTTCGATTCACAGGGGGGCTGTGGCCGAGCAGCCAAACATGAGGTTTTAACTGTGTATTTCTTTCCACTTTCCAAATGCTCAGCGGAGGAGCCCTCAGAAGCCCCCCCGCCTCCACCCCGAGGGAAGGCCCCACAGGCCCCTGAGAAGCCCACGCAGCTGGCAGAGGTCCCCACAGAGCCAACTCATCCAGAGCTGACCCCTCCGCCTCTGCCGACGCCCAGTGCTTCACCACCTCCCGAGGACCTTGGACAACAGCTGTACACGGACCAGCAGCCTGTTCTGCCCAAGAGACCCCAACAGCCACTGCCCTGGCCAGCGTGGCCCGGCTGGACAGGGCTGCCCTTCTTGCCTGGCTCCACTGGGGTCATTATGGAGACTGGAGAGGCTGGGCCTCCAGGGAGAATGGGCATGTCGGGGAGGGGCCTGCCCCAGGGGGTGGATGGCCAGACTGGGCAGGTGCCAATCCCCAGCACAGAAGGATTCGCAGGAGCACCAGGTAAGGCTCACAGCCACCAGGCACATCTGGGCCCCAGAGGGTGAGACTATATGGAGGGGCAGTTGAGTCTGCTGCAGGGCATTGTGGGTTCAGGGTTCAGTCTTCAGGGTACAAGTTCCAAAACTTAGCTTTCCAAAGGTGCTGAGGTCTTGAGGGACTAGTTCATGCTAATCAAACATCCAGGGACAGTGCAATAAATTATACTTAGAATTGCCCCCTGGGCTAGAATCCCTAGGCCACAGGGAAGCTTGTTGATCTTCCCAGCAGGAAGTGTACTGAGAAACCAAATGTGTACAGGGAGCTTGTGTAGCAGCAGACAGCCCACATCACAGTGGGTAAACTGGAAGGTTCTGGCTCAAATCTCAGCTGTGTCATCACAAGCTTTGCAAGCGGGGTCAGCTCCTTTACCTGCAGAGTGAGGACTGTAATAGGACCCCAGGGGGTGTCTGTGAGGGCGAGGGAAGAAAGCCTAGTTCAGTGCTTGGCTAGTTAGGTGCTCCATGCGGGTGTGTCAGCACCAATGGGGGCAGGTGGTGGTGGGGTGATGCTGTCAGGTGAAGGCAGGAGGGAGAAGATAAAGGGAGCAAGCATTTGTGGGATCCTCACCATATGCCAGGGACCGAACCAGGCACTCCATTTCTTACAGCTCTCCTGACAGCACTGTGAAGTTAGTTCTATTTACAGATGAAGAAACTGAGGTTCAGGGCTATGACATATAAACAAATGTATTTGTTTTCTATTAGTTTCATGTATCATGGATGCTTATATACTGTTGGGCTATTGTTTGTCCATCCATGTAGAAATCCTTCCTTCCATCCATCCATGTAACAGTCCATCCATCCATCCATCCATCCATCCATCCATCCATCCATGTAACAGTCCGTCCATCCATCCATCCATCCATCCATCCATCCATCCATCCATGTAGCAATCCTTCCTTCCTTCCATCCATGCATCCCTCCTTCCATGTAGCAATCCTTCCTTCTGTCCATCTGTCCATCATCCACCCATGGAGCAATCCTTTCCATTCATCCATTCATCCACCCATCCATGCGTCCATGTAACAAACACTGCATCCAGCCTAGCTGGAGGCTGAAGCCTACGAACAGACAATGCTCCTAGAAGGCAAGCATGGTAGTTGGCATATGTGAGTCTGATTCAGTCTGTGGACTTCTCTTCCCTGGCTTGAGAAGCCCCAGCACCTCAACCTTTTCCTCATATTCCCTCATCCAGCTTACCCTCAGGGCATTCTTCCCTGTCCAGGGATCAGTGGACTAGAGAGGAAGCAGGTATGGCAGGTACAACTGTTTCTAGGAAGACAGCTTGGAGTGGGTGCCTTGCTCTATATCTAGCTGAATAAATAGTGTGAGGAGTAGAGAAAGAAAGAGGGACTTTGAAAAATTAGGCGCTGCTTAGGATTTTGTTTGATACTCCATTCCCATCTTGTTTTTCAGGATACCCCAAGTCACCTCCTGTAGCCTCCCCAGGTACGTTTGCAGGAGACCAGGGCAGGAGGCCGATTCTCCCTGACAGCTTCTGCCCTGCACGTCCTTCCTCTTCCCTTCGGGCTGTTCGTTAGGTGGAGACGGGCTCAGCCCTTCCCTGCCCGCAGCTATGGAACAGGGCCCCTGCTGACTGCAGTGGGCTGAGCCCCTGCAGGTTTTGCTCCCCAGAGAGGGTGAGAGTTACGCTGGAGACAGGAATTCTCCCTCATGCATGATCCAAGCCTGTGGGGTTTTCGGAGAGGACCACTGGGCGGCTGGATGTAAGCCCGGTAGTGGGGGTCCAGGTGTTACTGTTTCTTCAGTAAGTAAGCAGTTCCCTAGATTGTTTCCATCACTCCTGCCCCCCAGCACACTCGCACACCCGCACGATGCACACAGCATTAGTTTGCTCTGAGAAGTTGTGTGCCAGCTTCTCTCTCTCTTTCACACACACACACACACACGGGGTCACACATGGTCTCACACACATACACTCCCATCTCACAAGGCAGACCGTCTGGCTCTCGAATAGTTTGTGTCCCTGGGTGCTTTACCACTTGAAGGGAAAATAAAATGGTGAGACTGCTTTTCAAGACAGGCACGTAGGCCTCAGCTTCCCAGGCGCCAACCATGTCAGCCTCTGAACACTCGCGTCCTCTCCGTTCCAGGGGTCCCAGCGCCTTCCCTGGTGTCCTTCTCAGCAGGGCTCACACAGAAGCCTTTCCCCAGTGATGGGGGTGTTGTCCTCTTTAACAAAGTGCTGGTCAACGATGGGGATGTGTATGACCCCAGCACCGGTAAGTCTTGAGGGGTACACTATCTGGGGTCCCGGGGTGGGGGAGCTGCACTGGAGGAGATGGCCCAGCAGCTGCAGGCATTCGAGTGCTGCTGTTCCCACTGGGGGTTTTTGTGAAGAAATTCCAGCCTGCACGCTGCGGGGCGGGCGGTGTGCAGCGACATATCCCAGTCATGATGTCAGCATACCAGCCCTCGCCTGGGACTTGTTCATGTGATTGTGAAGACTGTTAGAAAGGCTCCCTCACCGCAGCCAGGGAGAGGCTCCCTCTCTGTCTGTCATCCTCACACTCCGGGACAGAACAGCGGGAGACCTCCCGGCCCTGCCTGCTTCAGGAAGCAGCTCATGGTTTGTGATGAACAGAGCCAGAAAAGGACTGTGTTCCCTCCAGGAGGGTGGCCCTGCATGTAGGGTCTCCTGCTCTGAAACAGAACCACTTTAGCTGCCCGGATCTGCTTGTGGCATCTGTGATGTCCCCCCGTCCGTGAGAATAGTGGGGACAGAGTCAGCAGCGGTGGCTCAGGCTTCTCCTCCCTGCTGGCCCACCACCTGAGCCTGTGCTTCTGCCTCAGCCCCGCTTCCCAGGGCATGTGCCTCCCTGCCAGCTCATTGACAGCCCCGGGGGAACAGCTCCAGGTATGGCTGCAGCAGGTCGGGGCAGAGCCCGAGGCAGGGGCTGAGGGGCAAGCGGCCTGGGGGGTTCTTTCCAGAGGCGCTCAGAGACTTCTGAGAAAAGGCTAGCCCATCAAGTGCCAGCAGATCGAGGTGCCCACGTGGATCTTCCCAGGTCTGCGTAGGTACACTGGCTGGTGCATTTCCAGGAGGGTTTTGAGAGATGGACTCAAGTTCCTTCTGAGCAGTTTTCAGCCATCACCCTCACGTTTCCCTCCCTGGCCATCAGGCTAACTCCGTCTTGTTTTTGGGACAGCGGTTCTTAAGTCAGCATAATGCCTTGTGGAGCCTGGAAAAATGGAACTCTGGGTCCTTCTGGCTGGAGGGAAGCTCCGGGCTCCGCATCTCCAACCTGCTCCCGAGGCTCGCAGACAGGCAGGCCTGGGTGTGAGAAGCCCCTTTTGCTTTCATCTCAGGTATAGCCTCCTCCAGGGCCCTCACTCCATGCTGCCTCGGCGTGGGGACAGCTTGTCCACTCCGACAGGGCAGGGATGGTGACCCACACTTCTCCCGTGATCCCGGGATGTCCAGCCCAGAACTTCTCTCATTGAGCAGGTCCTCAGTCAATTCTGGGTGACTCTGAGGGAACATGAAGGCCAGGTACCCAGAGTGCTGGGGCCGGGTCTGTGCTCAGGGCCCAGGTGCTTCGGGAAAGGCTCCGGACTTTACATTACTATGAAAAGCTGGGGAAAGAGCTGGTGGCCTGTCATTTCTCCGGGCAGAATGAAAACCCAGACCCTCAGACTTCTTTTCAGCTCCGGAACCTCCATTCTGTCAGCTCTTGGCCGATGGCCCATGTTCCAAGTCTACTCTTCTCCCCAGAGCCCAGGGGAAGTGGCTGCTCCTGGAGGCATTTGGTGTGGGCTCTGACTCTTCTAGCTGTAGGGCCACCTACAGCTGTTCTGCGGGTGGTACATCTACAAACCCTGTTTCCTCTTCCTCACGCCATTTCCACGGCCCTGGCTACCACTTCCCCTGCCTCCCCAGGCCCAGAACCTGCGCATCTTTGTCTAAGTGAAAACCAGCTGATTTCTGGCCATGAATGGATGCTACCTGTTGACCGGTCCATTGCAGGGAAACTGGTTGTTGTTTTCCCCCGGGACAGTGCCAAGCTTTGTGGGTTTTTAGGGTCCTGCCTCCTCAAGAGGCAGCTCAGGCCTCTGTGGACATGGTGCCCAGCAGCCAGACTGTGAGGCTGGTTCTAGTTGGTTTTGAAGTACTTTCAGTGATGGAGAAAACTCCCAAGGGGCAACCAGGATCTGGTGGCTGCCGTCCCCCACTGTACTTCAGGTGAGTGAGGAGCAGGCCATGGGCTGGACCTCAGCCCTGCATCTTCACCAAGCACAGGTGCACATGGCATTGCAAAGGCTGGTGGACACAGTTCCAGAAATGTTAGGACGTGAGCATTCCTCCAGCAAGGCCAGATGGTGCCCTCCCAGCACTGTGCACAGCACCGAGGGGCCAATTTCTCCTAGGGCTGCTCTGGGTGAGGTATTATTAATTATTGCAAATGCTGGAGGTTTCACAGTATCTGTCCTCTTCTGGATGTGATAAGCATTAGACAGTGGGTCTTGCAAAGAGGGCTGGGGTCAGTGGCAAAGAGTGGTGCACACGAAGGAGGGGGCCTGTCATTGGGTGGGTGTAGGTGAGCTACCTCTCCCACGAGAATGAACTGATAACCTGCTGCAAAGTGCTGTGGTGGTGTCATATGAGCACAGGGGTCTGCCTTCTTTCTTCCAGGGATCTTCACAGCTCCATACGATGGGCGCTACCTGATCACGGCCACCCTCACTCCAGAGAGGGATGCGTACGTGGAAGCTGTCCTGTCGGTCTCCAATGCCAGCGTGGCCCAGCTGCACACAGCTGGCTACAAGAGAGAATTCCTGGAATACCACCGCCCCCAAGGGGCTTTGCACACTTGTGGGGGCCCAGGAGCGTTCCACCTTATTGTACATTTGAAGGCAGGAGATGGCGTCAACATCGTGGTGACTGGGGGCAGGTTGGCTCACACGGACTTTGATGAAATGTACTCCACGTTCAGTGGGGTTTTCTTATATCCTTTCCTTTCCCACCTCTAGGGCACTGCGGAAAGGTAAGGCAGAAGAAAGTTGTAAGAACTGGAAAGCTTTAATATATTCACTTTATGTATGTAACTGGAGCACTGGTCTAGTTTTCTGTCGACATCCCACCACCTCTCTCAAGGTAAAGGCCTTACCTGACTTTGGAGGCCACCACTGACACCGTAGAATTCCCCAGCAGGCAGCAAGGAGTGAAACATGTAGCCACCAACTTCCGTCACTCCTGAGGGCCGGCTGGAGTTGGACATGCCCTTACCTATAAAAGCCAGGTCCTCCCCCAACTCTAGCTTTGACCCAACGGGCCTGAGCTGGGCTTACCAGGTGCTGGCCTGCAGGGGGAGGCTGTAGAATCATGTCCTGCTGATGGAGACGGAAGAGCTGCTGGATACAGGTCTGAGGAGGACTGGCCCAAACTGGTACCTGTGGCTACAGTCTTTACCAAAGAGCAAACCGGTCACCAACTGTCTTGTGTTTATTTATACTGCATGAAGAAGTTTAAACACTGAAGTGGCATGTGCCGCCACAGAGACCTGGGTTTACAGATGGGGCTGCCCCAGGTCTGGTTCCCACTGCTCCCCCTGGGCCTCTGCCCAGCTGTGAAGGAATCCAAGAGACTGTTGTGCAGCTTGTTGGGCTCCTTGAATGACATGTACAATTTAAGTGCAAAGACAGGGAGTATCAATAAAGATATAAAACCACTAAACCACTTCAAGTTACTTAAATCTGGTGTCTTGTGGATTGAGGGTTGTTGCTAAAAAGCACATTGCAGTAAGGTAATTGACTTTTTTTGATGGCTGTAGAAAGTAAGCCTGAATAAATCTCTCTCAACCATTTAATTTACCCTTGAGCAGCATCTAAGATGTACACTTAGTTCTTTTTTGCTTGTAAAGACAGTTCCAATGTGATTGGAGGTCAAGGCCCCCATGTAAGCCCTGCAGCTGAAGAGGGGCTCCTCCACAGGATGCTGAGAACTGACATCTAATTAGCAGCTGCCCAAGCTAATGAGATTGCTCACTGCCCAGATCATAGAGATGCAGCTTTAAGAACTCTTGGGTTCCCAGGCAACAAGAGGCCCAACATAACGCTGAGATCATGAGAAAGGCAGGCACGTTCTGTTCCAGGGAAGCCCAGGCACGTTCCACCCTCCCTTATCAGCAGCCACAGAAACCTCTAGGCACACCACTCTGAGCTCCAGACCATGGTCTCTGCTCGTTAGGCTGGTAAAATCTGGTGGTCAATCAAGTGCCACTAGGGGAGGCAAGTCCCCTAGAGCCCCAGAGAAAGATGTGGACCACAGACAAGTTTCCTTGGCCTGAATTAAGCCACCAGATATTCTTAGGCTATAAAAATTCCAGGACTGTTTGCAGTGAGATCACAGGGTGGCCACTGGCCCCCGCAGAAAGGAGCCTTCTTTCTCACTCCCACCCTCAGGCAAGGGAGGAGTGGCCAAGAGCCTGAGGATTTGCTGTTTTAGTATTTTAAAGTCTGGACCTCACTGCCCAGGAGCGTGAAGGAGAGTGGCATTCTCATTCCATTTCTCCAGCTGGGGAACTGGCTAAAGGTGCCTGTCAGTATCGCTGGCTTCCTAGAAATGACTCATGGAAAAAACCGCAGTGCAGTTGAGCATTTTCAGGAAAACCCAGTTGGCATACACACAGTTTTGCCCTCTCTCCCTCACATCCCCTTGTAAAGACCTTAACTCGGTGCCAAAGGGGACAAATATGCAAATAGTAGGAAAGACAGGGACCACAGATGGTTCTCTAGACCACCAAGTAACACTTGATCCTCCTCTCATTGCATTCTGACTCATTTACTGGAAAAAAGTGAATTTCAGCTGTGTGTGTCCAAGATAGGCAAAGTAGACTAAGTGTAATTACAGCAGGCCCTGTGTTCATGTCAAGATAAAATATGGGGAAAGCTGAGGCATGGTCTGTTTAGGAGACAGCATCTTTCAAGAGGGAAAGGCCAAGAGAAAATGCAAGGTCACTTGAGCTGGAGCTGCAGGAGCTCTGGAGCAGCCCCTTCTGGAAAGCAAGCCCTAAACTGTGTGCCTGAGAGTGAGACATGAACCGAGCCCTGAGACCTAATCAGGTGCAGGTTCACAACTTCTGAAATAAAGGTGTTGTTGTTGAGAAAAAGGCCAGAGCACTTCCTAAGGTAAGCAGAGAAAGGGCTAGGACATTTTCCTCCCCACACAAACTGTTATGAATGGCCACAGTTAAATGATTGCAAACAACAAAATGACCCCGGCGATCAAGACTGCAAATCAATGCAAACTACCTTTGAAATTATGTCCATGTTAGCACATTAATCTAGTTTTCTCAGTGACCCTGTCATCTCTCCAACTGTTTTTCACAATTTATTTGTAGTTGAAAGGATAGGGGTATCTCATCAGAAACACTCAAGTCCATGCTTATATATTTGAAACAGGCTTTGCACATGCCCACATCCACTTTCTAAACATATATACATGTCTTCATGTCCCATCCTATCAAAGGGAAGGAAAAGGAAGGATAAATGCAAACTCTAAGGGGTGCCGAGTGCAGCAGAAGGAAGACAGTTGAGACAGGCCTGAGAGCACAGATGGGACCGAGGCTGCTCCTCCCTGAAGCACTGGAACCCATTCAGGGTAAAAACCCAGTCTGAGCTCTTTCTTTCTCTTTCCAAAGCTCCCCCCCTCGCAAGAGCCTCAGCTGCATGTCCCCAACCTCTCGCCCCCCTCCCCAATCACAGCATGGCCAGAAGCATGAGATGAGACTTGCCGTACTTAAAGGCACACTCACAAGGAGGACTCTTGGGGTTCAACATGTTCAGTACATGCTGCATTTGGCAGACCCAACAATCTGAGGGGATGTGAGAAGATGCTCATTTAAATACGTAAGATGAGGTTTCTGATCCAAGTTCACTTTGCCTCTCCTAAGCTGATGAAAACATCAGGATTGCTAAGTAGTATTCACCCAGAGGAAGGGCTTAATGAAAGGTGGGGTGGCTGTGAGCAGGACTCTCAAGGGACCCCCGAAGGGCTGAGGGGTGGAATGAGAAAGCCTAGAGGATTCCAGTGAGAACACACCAGAAATCACATATGTATGAATGAATCATTCCCTGGCAGAACCTACAAAGCAAGAGGTTAGTTCCTGAGGGTGTAGCCTCACTTTTGGAGTCAGGTTTTCTGAAAATAAGCACCAAAAAGAAGTCATTTCTGTAGACAAATTTAAGTGTCAGCAAAGATCAAAATGCTAATTTATGGAAATTCACAATTTCTGGCAAGAGTACAGAGAAGATGGCTTAAATGTCCTCTGAAGGAAAGAGTCAAATGCATTCAGTTTACATTTGTTTATTGTTGTAACATTTTGTTTTGAACATCAAACACTGCACCAAAATAGGAGCCATTTATCTTAAGACAATGGTCTTTGCCATAACTAAGAGTACTGGACTGATGTTTACAATTAATTTCTGACAACTTAAAACTTATTAGTAGCACTGCTGTCTAAAAATCAAATACTTCATCAGAGTGTAATTATTAAATTAAAAGAGTAAAGTTTCCCCCTCCCTTTCTTACCTTCAAACGAAAAACATAGTTTTCATCTGGAAAGAGCATTTACTTGAAACAAAAACTCAATTTTTAACTAGTTAGGTTAAACCCAGCATGCTCTAAAACGGGAAAATAAGGCTTCCTAGAATAAACATGATGCTTTGAAAAGATGTTAAAATTTCCTGGAAAAGTCTGTCTTCTACTTGCAAAAAGAGAAAGAGCTGACTTCTTACCTATCTTCACAAGGTCCTGCCTGCACCTGGGGGGGAAGGGCCACAGGTGGTCTATGGGCACAGGTCCTTCCAGTCAGTGACTAGCTGTGGTTCCTCAGTTGTTCTCCCTGTGATGGTTAGCAGCTTTCATTTTAGGACATCACAGTAGTAAGTTTTTTCTTTTTCCAGTTGAAAACTATGCAGATGTGTCTAAGCACAGCAAACACAGAGCACACACACAGGGCTAGGTGGGCATGTTGTGGGCCCACACGTGCACTTCCTACTGTCTGGGAAGATGCAGATATTGACACCACAGCCACACAAGCTTCAACACGTGCATATCAAGGCAGATACTAAAGTCAGGTTGAGCTGGAAAGAGTAAGGGGCCATGGCTGTTTCACCAGTGAAGCAACTGAGAGAATGATTTAGAAGAGCCCAATCTGCCTGCAATCTCCCCGTGATACCACCCATCACCGAAAGCAGCGTGAGGCTAAAGCTTCTTCATTTACTCACCATCGTAAGGGTCTGTGTACAAACACACTCAAGGGCATCTCTCTTTCACAGAAAGAACACACGTCATTTGTACCAAATGGCAATGGGTTTTTAGCACAAACTTAATACTTTCATCACACTATAGTAATAGTAATCATCTACTTTTCAGCAAGAGAAACTCCTTTAAATAAGGAAAAGGACTCATGTCAATTAGTGTATGTACCCACTGGATCAATCTACAGCAATAAAATGACGAAGTCTGGTGCTTATGGACACTGGAACAAAGGATCCAGCCAACCTCAACACAAGGCAGGGAGACCCAGGTTCCCACACTGAACCTTCTAGAAGGTCATGTGTCCAGAGAGAAAGAAACTATCTAGTCAAAAACTCTTGAAAGGACAACCTAAAAAGGACTACAAAAGGTGTACATTAAGATTTTTCATACTGCACATATGCAAAGAGGCCCAACTCAGCTCAGGTTAAGCACATAAAATAAAGCTCATGTTCTTCTAAAGCAAACAGTCGAGGACACACTGAGGGCATCGAGGAGATGAGGTAACTGCATGGCCAATCTACTAGGAATTTAATTCACTAACGGGCAGAACTTCATATAAACATAACCTCAGTTCCCTAATCTACTGTACATAAAGAAACTCATTAACCTATTAGACCTTGACCTATTTAAGGTGGGAAGGTTTGCACTGGAGGAAGCGTATTGTTTCCCCTCTGGGAATATGTGCCTCCAGGTTCTACCACTGAGAAATGCATTCAAGGGCCTTCACCATTGTTTCTGCATCCAACTGCACTGGGGAAAATAGTTGACCTACACCAGGGGCTGTCAACTCTCCAATCTGAAAAAATAACCACCCCCATTTCTCCATCTTTATATTAGTGTTATTTTGGGTGGAGTAAACAAAAACTAGGAAAGCCCTCAAATATAGGCAGAGGGAAAAGTAGAGGTGGAAATGGAAACCATCCTGAGTGGGGTGGTGCCTGTACCTGCACCTCCCACTCTGCACTGGATCTTGGCTCAATGCTTTCTCACCAAGGCGACTATGGTAAGTTCTGGTCTCCTGAAAGTCTCCTTTCCAACAGTTCTCTGGATTTCAGTACTGAGTTGATTGTCAACACCCAGTCTGATATCTCCAGGCTCTTAGCTTAGAGGACAGAAGCCTTCCCTGGTGCTGTTGGCTCAGACTTTGACATGAGGACATTACAACCAAGCTGAGAACCTGAGGGGCAGGAAGGACGGAGAGAAGGACTCTTCCCAGGAGCCACCGCAAGTGCACATCTGCATTTCCAAGGCCTCCTTGAAAACAGAGTTGTTCTTTGCTGTTTAACTAATTCCACTGTTAGTCCTGTTCTTACAGACATCAAATATACTGCAAAACCATTTCTTCTGGCTAGGTTCAAAACATAAGGGTCTTCCATCATCGAGTAGTCACAGATGAGAAGGCCATGATCTATGGGGCTCTTCCTCCCCAGAAGCCTGTATCTGTGGGGTGGGATGAGTGGCCCTGGGTCCCTGCCCCAGCAGCTGACCTGTTTCAGTGTAGCAGGGAAGGAGGAGCCCACAGAGGGAATGTGAGCAAGCAGTCTGAACCAACATCATTAATGGGACCTGTAGCAGCCTGGTGGACACAGATCTTCTTAATAAAGCCCTGGTTTCAGAGAAACACTTTCAACTGCCCAGTGGAAGTTATAACACTTTACTTTGTGCAATAGTTTGGTCCACTCTTATTTAGCTTCTTTTTTCTTCCTTTTAAATTAAGCAATTAAAGGAGCACCCAGCACACAACTTGACACAGAGTGTGTGTGAGAACCGACCAGTGACAGGAGCCCAGGTCTCTGTCCTCAGGTCTGAGCTGCCCTCACTTCTCCTGCTGGGGCACCAAGTTGTAACCTCGCTGAGCCTGGGAGGGTGAAGTTGATGGCAGTTCCACTGTAGGAGCTCTCCTTGCCCCTGCTGGTGCCTAGCTGTCAACACGGGTCCTGCCCCGGGCCTGTGGATGGAAGGGGAACCCAGTGTCCTCTGTCCAGCAGAAGTGCTGGTCACCTTCCCTAACTGCAAGATAAGAGACTGAGGACCTCCTGGAGGGGCCGCCTCAGGCCAGGTCATCCAGGTCCACTTTGGGGATTGGATCTCGCCAGTAACAGAAGGAGCTGAATTCAGGGTACGGAAAGGCAGAATTCTGTTCCTTATTGAGAAGTGGGAACACGTGCTCCACAAGCTCACTCAGTCTGTGATACCTAGGAGACAGAATTGGGGAAGAAAAGCACAAACTGTTACTGTGAAGTTCATCTAAGAGCATAAGACTATAGGTTGTAAAGCCGGGTGTATTCAGATTCCTCAGATAGGTAGAATCCAAGATAGGTCTCCATCCCTTCCCTGGGCACAAACTTCCTCTTCAAAGTCTAGGAGAATCAGCAATCCCATAAATAGAAGGGAAAATACCAAGGCAAAGAGGAAAGCCTTCAAATGAAGGCAGATGTAGTTCTGATACTTTGAGTGAGGCTGATCCTTAGTATCTAAATGTCACTCTGGCTGCAGGGCTCTAGGCTAAGAAATGGAAACACACTTACGATGACTTGTTTCCTTTGGTCCTTTCTTGTATTAATTCACCCTTGGGATTCACGGTGAATATTCTGCAGTCTGGAACTCCAACTTGTGTGTAAGCATAGACATCCTGGAGCAAAAAACATCAAGCGGGGTGATTATAGGGAGAAGAAATTAGGCGCTGCTTCTCCAGTTCCTTGTGAACCAGAATCGCACAAACAGAAAACTGTCTTCGGAAAACAGGCAGAACTGGACAACATGTAGCTTTGCCACTGAAATTGAGCTTTAGACAAACCCAAACAAAACATGAAGCCAAACCCAGAGGGTGCTGGGGGATGCAGGAAAAAGGGGAGACAAGGAGACACCAGGGGTGCCCTGGAGCAAGAGGAGCCCCACTGTCCATCAAAGGCCAGGAAGTAGCCCCCTTCATGCCTGAGATCTGAGGGCCCCTCTAAGGGGAAGCAGGTCAGGGAAATGCCAATTAAGGGTAAGCACTCATGTTGTGGTTCTGGGGTAGATCCAAGGACATGGCTTAGAACCGTTTAGAACATGAGAAAGAACCACTGGAGAAAATAGTAATTGAAACCACAGAAAACAAAGAAAAAGTGCCCTTCATCATGTATATCAAAATTCTGGGGCAGCTCTCCACCTATAGGATCTCCCTAATTACTGTAAGAAATTTGGAATAGATGAAGTAAAAACCTATTTAGCAGAACATTAATTTGTTTTGCCTATAAAATTTATCTGAGAATTATGACATAGCTACATCCTGAAAGTCTACTCCTCTCAATTTTACCCACATCAGAATGTGTAGCCTAAAGGAGACACTTACATTTGGACGGTTTCCAAAGGCAGCATAGAAGGGCTGCTTAGATGGGGCAAACAGATTCTTGATATCATTTAGACACTCAATTTTGAATTTCTCTGGTTTCTTTTCTATCACTTCCCTAGAGGGGGAAAAAAAAAAACATATATAGTCAGCAAATTCAAAGTGGTAGTAATCCCTGGTATTCGGTCCTAGAAGAAGTTTTGTGCTCACAACCACCCATTTTAAAAAATCCTTTGTAACTGGTATCCTTTCTCCTTCTCTGCCAGTCAATATGATAACAGAAAACTTGATGGGGTTTGGGGAAAGAAAAAACAGCCACTGCTAGAACTTGACTTTCCTTGACCATGCTTGGCACAGACCAGGTGAGTTGTAACTTAGAATGCTAGGTGGGAGCTCTGACCAGTGTAGCTCAGTAGTTGTGCATCGACAGGTCACTGGTTTAATTCCAGGTCAGGTCCCATGTGGGAAGCAGCTGATCACTGTTTCTCTCCCCCCCCCCCCCCCGCCCCTTCTACTTTCTCTAAAATCAGTAAGATTATTAAAAAAAAAAAAAAAAAAAAAAAAAAAGGATACAATGGGGAACCAAAGAATTAAGATACACAGAAGCTCTGAAACAGACACAAACCCTTTCAATGAGCCTGACACCCATACTCACACACAACCCATTCAGGCCCCAGCACCCCCTCCCATGCACTCAGAAGGGCTGCCTGCTGGGAGGTACCTGTGGAAGGCAGAGAACAAGCTGCTGGGGGACAGCATCAGAGGACCTCGAGGCAAGATTGTGCCCTTGTCATTAACCCAGTGCAGGTAGCCACGGGTCATGTCGGCCATGCCGATGGCACGAGCAGAGCAGTACAGAAACTTGTAGCCATTCCTGAAAGAGAATGTATCTTATTTAGCCCATTGTGCTTTGGCTAAAGGTGAAGAAAAAAGCACTTTTCTTATAAAAGATCCAAGTATATGTACTCTCATTTACTGTGAAAATCAAATTCTAATTTAATTAAACAGAAAAATAGGATTATAAAGATTTCAGCTTTCCATAGAAAACATCATGGGGAAAAATTGAGGTATATGCAACTAGGGACTATGCTAAATTTATGAATACTGATGTATCTTCAGCATCTAGTCTAACGAAAGGCAGATTACAGAACAGACAAACATCTTGGGCTATCTTTAAATTATCTGCTACAAAGGAAAGATACAAAAGATCTTATTTATAAAGACAATTTGCAGAAGGCAAACCATCCTGTCAGCCAAGGAGCAAAATACCTGGGTGACTAACATAATTTTCATATTAGGGGATTCTCAACTAACGTTTAAGACACTAATTTTTCAAGTCAATTTAATTCATATGTATTAGGGTCCCACGAAGGCCATGGCACTGTGTTCTCTGCTGTACTGGCACAGAAGACCCCAGAGGTGAAATGTGTCTCCCACGCATGCATGACCTTCTCAAAGAAATACCCAATTTAAAAGTATCCAAGTACTCAATTAATAAACCAAAAATGAAAATCAGCTCTTGTTAAATTACAGCTAAAAATCGTTATAGCTATAACTACAAATATAGGTAGTGCATAAAATTCATAGCATAGTGAGAATGAGATGACATGTTGGCTGTCACTTTTCTTTGTGAGGTTACAGGAAAGGAGTGGGAAAGATGACTGGGAATAGTTATATTATGAACACACATGATTCCCGTGTACACCATTTTTCAATAGTTTTTAATCAAAGCAAAATTCTAGCTCACTAGAGCACATTAGCAGGTGGGATAGGAGACCTACTCGTTGATGGCATGGTAGAGCTTTGCGATACCCTGATGAGTCCAGTCTTTACCCAGCTGTGGAAGAATCTGTCCCAAAGCGTCAGACCTAAGAGAGCATAAGTAGGAAAAGGTACTGGGAATCAAGCATATAAAGGCCAAGTGTTTTCCTTTTTAGTTATATATTAGCTGCTGAAAAACATTGGGTGGAGGGGCAGGGCAACCGACAGGGCAATTTGCAGTGAGGCATTCTCTTACAAGTATACCACGGAGGAGCTTCTAAAAGGAGAATCAGACACAAGAACCAGCTGTTCATTTTCAGAGACAATTTACAACTACAAACCCTTTTCCTCCTTTTCAATCTCAAAAGCTTCTTAAGTTTTTTTTAAATGCCAAAATTTGAAGACCAAATAACTAAAGTTTTCCAAGAGTTATTTTCAACATTACATTTCTATGGGTCCACCCATCTACTCCAACCATAAAATGACCCCCATGGACTGCATTTAGGATGTCTCAGTGTACGTAGTTTTAAATAAAACACTCCTTCTGATGGCTGAGGGCTAGAGGCTTGGTGAGGACCCCCCGGCCCCTGCCCCACTGCACATGGACCTGCACCTCCCTCCTCTCTCTGCCACCCACCACAAGCTCCTGCTTACTTGGTTATTGTTCCGTCTATATCGGAAATGATGATCTTGTCATTCCAGTTCCACAAGTAAATGGTCCCTGCACAACGGCAGGTACCTTGATACTGGGTTGTAATACTAAATACGACATCATTTGGGCCATCTTGGAGCTTCAGTTTTGCCTTTTATAAAAAGTAGAGGAATAAAGTAAACCATAGAGGCAGAATTTTAAAAACTGATGAAATTACATGTAACAATCAAGTCACATTTTCCACCCTGGCCAGTTTGGCTCAACAGTTAGAGCACTGACGCATGGATCGAAGAGTTGTGGGTTTGATTCCAACCAAGGGCATATATACCTTGGTTGCAGTTTGACCCCGGCCCTGGTCAGGGTCTTGCAGGAGGCAACTAGTTGATGTGTCCCTTTCATGTCGATGTTTCTCTCTTTCTCCCTCTCTCTCCCTCCCACTCTATCTGAAGATAAATAGAAAAATATCCTCAAGTGAGGATTAAAAAAAAAAAAGCCACATTTTCCAATAATATGCAGTCACTGAGAGATTGCCTAAAATATGTTAAGTGAAAGGAATCTAATCTCCAAAATATACAAATATACGTATGTGTGTATGAATACATAAAAATGAGAGGAATAATACATTAACAAGATAACTAAAATTAAAAAATTTTTTTTTTTCCTTTATTGATTTTAGAGAGAAAGGAAGATAGAAGGAGGGAGAGAAACATCGATGAGAGAGAACATTGACTGGCCGCCTCCTGCATGCCTCCCAACTGGGGATAGGGCCCACAATCTGGGCATGTGCCCTGACATAGAATCGAACCGTCAGCCTCTTGGTACATGCAACCACGGAGCCACATTGGCCGGGCAAGATAACTGCAATTTTAAAAAATCAGCTGAAAACACTGTGTGGCACAGAGTCTAAATGTTTGCAAAACAGAACAGTGTCTGCCTCATTACCATACCAGGCCCAGTGCTGCACACATGGCTCACTCAGTGAGCTGGGCTTAGGATGCCACTGCCTGAACAGTGTTTGGGATCCCAAGAGACTTTTCTAATCCCCCAAACAAAAATCTTCTCCACTCCTTCTCATACCTAAGATAGGGGCATAGCAAAACCATTTCACATTGAAAATATGTGAAAAGCAGGGAGTAAAAACAAATAGGAAAGGGGAAGTTGTGTCTAAATAAGAAAACATTACTTCTCTATTGTGGCTCTCAAGAGATAGTGGGTGACCCAGTGCTGAGCAGCAGCTGTGTAAAATTCATGGGGAAATAAGTTAAAAATACAGATTTCTCAGCTTACTCCCAGAAACTGAGGTGGGAGGGTCAGGGGCGGTGGAGGAAGCTATGTCCCAGGTTCCCCAGGTGATGATCCTGGCAGTCTCTTGTGGTGGTCATTTATATGTAAGCATCTGTATAACTACACAGTGTTGTGTGTGAGGCCTGGGACTGAATGGACAGAAGATGAAGGAAGTGAACTTAAACAGTTACTAAGATAATCCAACAAGGTCCACATGGCTCTCACACTACTCACGATCTGGTCTGAGGACAGGCGGAGAGACTTTTTATATGAGGTTATGCTGCCGTGGCTCGGGGACTCTGTGAGAATGGGGTCCATTTTGATCGATTCTTCAATCTCCTGTGATCCCCCATCACTGGATGAGTCATCTTCTGCTGGCCTGTTCAATATCAATCAGTTACTAAAGAGGCAGTAGGCTGTTTTATTGATAACAGCTTTTCATTAGGATCAAGAGATCCTAAATCCATTCTAGAAATGGGAACAGTTTCTCCCTTTGCTGCTCTCCCACATCCTACTTCCATGCCTGAATATTCATTTCATGAACTGATAACATCACCTTTCTCCTTCCTCTCATGATTGGCCAGAGGTTATTTTCTGGCTATCAATGGGCATTTTCTGCTGTGACCAGTGAATGCTACTCGTTGAAGTAGATACGTATGTTTCAAAAGGTACAAATTAGAGAAAATATAATTGCTTATGTTGATTAAAAAACTAAGAAGAAAAATTTAATAGAGGAGGGTAAAAAGCAAGAATATACTGTCACACAGATGACTGAACTAGAAGAGTTAGGGAATGGAAGAAGAAAGAATTTGACTGGGGAAAGTACATAGACGGCAGAAAGAAGAATGAGGTATATGGTGGCACTTCCTCTAAGGTCCAGCCAATCTGAATGTCCAAAGGAGTGCTACTTATCGCAATAAATAAAACAGACCCACAATCCCTGAGATTTTCTTTTATATCTCCCTTTGTGCCTAACAGGAAGCCAGGGAGCAGGGACACCAGGGACAGGCTGTCTTAGGACTCCTCAATATTCCCTATTCTCAAAGGCCTACATTTATTTCACAGTTATCTGATTCCATGGCTCCAGGACAGGAGGAACAAGGTATTTATTTAGGAAGCAGTGATGAGTATATTTAATCTTCTAAGCAAATAATACATATATATTTATATTTTAATCCTCACCTGAGGATATGTTCAATGATTTTAGTGAGAGGAAAGGAGAGGGAGAGGAAGAGAGACCGAGAGAAACATTGATGTGTGAGAGAAACGCTGATTAGCTGACTCCCATACATGCCCCATCCAGGGACTGAACCCGCAACCTAGGTATGTGCCCTGACCAGGAATCAAACCTGCCACCTTCTGGTATACGGGAGAACACTCCAACTAACTAAGCCACCCGGCCAGGGCCTAAGTAAATAATATTTTTTAGAAAAGCAGAAATTAACATTTGTAGTTAACTGAGTGGCATCAACAAGCCACTTATTCATGTATGTCCATAGGAGAAAGATGTTTCTGGCTGAGAATTAAACAATCAACTTGAATGCAATGACTAAAGCAGGAGTGGCCCAAGTACTATGAGCCTGGAGGAAGGACAGGGTGCTCCTACCTGCCACTGGCTGGCTCCTTTGTGCTTGATGGCAGGTCACCAGTGGGTGGCATCTCGGATTTCCCTTCCTTGGCCTCTGGCAGCTAAAAAAGCAAGATAATAATGGTAAAGTGTAGCTTTCCCCTTACCAACAAACAAAAATTTATCAGCAGTCCTCATCAGGAATGAGCAAAACTGTTTTCCACAGCTTATAAATGCTCAAGAAAACAGACTTTCTCTAGTTTGAGCCCAAGGACAGAAACCTGAGACCGAAGTCACATGCTGCTACAAAAAGCTGTCTCTACAAAGCCAGGAGAAAACTTTCAAAAGAATACCATTTCAAGTCACAAAATATAATACAAGTGGTCCTCAATCATTAGGTCCATGGCAGAGACACGAGGATTGTAGAACAGAAGTGACTGATGCCGCCGCCTCCTGTGTAGGAGGGCAATAAGCTCTTGCTCTGTCTGGAAGGTAATGCAGCGAAGTGGAAAGAGCACAGGTGTTGGAGTTGGACTCATGGTCAAACCCTAGCTCCATCTCTTACCAGTCAAAGCATGTCACCTCTTTGTGCCGTTTCCTTACCTGTACATGATGGGAACTCAAGCATCTACCCTTTTGAGCTATAGTAAAGGTGAGGAGTAACATATGTAAAGCACCTAGCACAGTATTACCTGCACATAGCAACCATTCAGAAATAGTGACTATTATTGTAAAAGAGTACTAGATAGCCCAAAGGGACTTTTTTGTGCTTGGCAAAGGTTTTTGACTAACTGAAAGATTCATTTCTTTTCAGCTTATGGAAAGGATACCTCCAGCCTGGTTACCTGTTTGGTCATACTTTCTCTCTTACGCCAAAACCACCAACGACCAGACTTCTTTGGCATCTTATCTTTGACCCAGGACTCGACCGTGGCCTGAAAACAATCAACAAGGGTTAGTCTAGCAATTTGTGGATCACAAAGCACCCAACTACTTTCTACCACTAGTCTGAAGGATGGTGCCTTATCACAAAGTATGAGCAACAACCTCCACATCTCTCAAACTCCTCTAGTTTTAACACCTGAAACAGTGTCCTCTTTCATGACAGCCTGGCTTCACGGCAGTTCTGTGGTATGAGACCGAGTGGTCAGGTTACATAGGAGCAGCCCCCTCAGGGTCAGGCAAAACATGTGGGCTACTCTCATGTCTCTACCCTTGGAAAATGCCATTCTCCTGAGTTATGAGGACCAATTAGGCCGATGATGTCTTCTTGCAGGACAGATTCAAAGCAACCTTCAGGTTCTATATAATATGTTTATTAGCCACAATTTGACCTAATCACACAGAGGTCATGCTTCTGGTGGCCGTATCACTCTCTTTTTGTGCCTTCTTCTCTTTTTGTGCCTTCTTTCAATATTAATAAATTTTTTTTCATTCATTCTCTATTTAATAATTAGTAAAATCTCTCAACTTTTACATACAATCAGAAACCGGTATAAATATCTAGTAAAAATGACAAAGATGTGGCAGCCTAGCTAATTTCTTAGATTTTGTGAATTAGTTCATTTGAGTGGGCACACAGAACTCTTTGGATCTTTTATAAAATTAAATAAACTTTGAAAAGTACCCAGTTTAGAAATAAGACACATATGGACTTTTCTAAGTACTACATGCTGTAGATACTTCTGAAAAGACAACAAATGGTAGACCATCTCACCTTAGGCAAACTTTTCTGGAACACTTGCAAGCTAAGGATCATGGGAGCAGCCAAAGCCCAGTTATAGTAACTGTAAGGAATAAAAATGTGTAAAACCATTACACAGAATGAGGAGTGAGAGAGAGAAGGAGGTAGAGAGGAAGAAAGAACAAAGGAGAGACAGAAATAACATCAAATTCCTTTTCCTTTGCAGTAAAAAGATGATCAGCTAAATTTTTAGTCATATGAATGATCTTTGCTTCAGGCCTAACTTCTCTGAACAGAGAAGCAGTAAAATCTACCAAACAAAACAACATTTTAATACTTCACTTAAGCCCTGACTGGGTTGCTAAGTGGTTAGAGCATCGGCCCACAGACCAGAGACCCAGGTTCAGTTCCTGCTAAGGGCACGTACCTTGGTTACAGTTTGTCCTCGGCCCTGGTTGGGGTCGTGTGGGTGGCAACCACTCGTTGTGTCTCTCTCACGTCGATGTTTCTTTCTCTCTCTCCCCCCTTCTTTCCTTCCTGCTCTATCTGAAGATAAATGCAAAAAATGTCCTCAGGTGAGGATAAAAAAAAATAATACTACCTCACTTAAAAATGAAGCTGAAGCCCTGGCCGGTTTGGCTCAGCGGTTGGAGTGTCGGCCTGCGGTACAGAGAGACCCGGGTTCGGTTCCCGCTAAGGGCACGTACCTCGGTTGCAGTTTGTCCCCGGCCCTGGTTGGTCGTGCGGGTGGCAGCCACTCGATGTGTCCCTTCACATCGATGTTTCTCTCTCTCTCTCTCTTCCTCTCTCTCCCTCCTAATCTATATGAACAAAAAATGGAAAAATATCCTCGGGTGAGGGAAAAAAAAAAAAAATGAAGCTGAAGCTTTACTTTCATTGCAAAGTCATTGCCCACTAGTTTGTTAATACAAAATGACATCTTTTCTAGCAAGAAAAATGACAATAGTTAAAAAATAGTACTTGGAAAAAAAACCCTGCAAAAGTATTTAACCATTACAAAAGCAAGAATATTTACCGGTTATATATCCGTATTACAAGGTTAGGGTTGTCTATAAGTCCAGGGTTTTCTGCAAATTCATGATAAGTAATGATATGCTCCATGAATTTTTCTGCAATATAAAATAACAATTGATTTGGTTAGAGATTATATAAATTCCCAAATGAAATTATCATAATACTCCACACACTGAAAAGACGATAGCATAAAATAAAACATATCCATTTTTCTTTTTTAATCCTTGCCCTGAGGATATATTTTTCCATTTATCTTCAGATAGTGTGTGTGTGTGAGAGAGAGAAACATTGATGTGAGAGACACATCAATTGGTTGCCTCCCGCATGACCCTGACCAGGGCCAGGGACAAGCCACAACGGAGATACGTGCCCTTGACCTGAATCGAACCCATGACTCTTTGGTCTGTGGGTCCGACGCTAACTGCTGAGCCAAACCAGCCAGAGCAAAAACATATCCTTTTTAAACAAACTTTTTATATCCATCAAAAGTTTTTCTCCAGGACAAGAAAGAACACTTCTATTCTCTCCTTCTTCTACCACTTAAAAACAAAACAAAACAATAACAGGAGAGAGATATGCCAGAGACTTTTGGGAAAATAGATTACAGATGTGGCCAGAGAGAAAGGGCACGCACGCACGCGCGCACACACACACACACACACACACACTAATGAGAACTGTAAGTTTCATTCTTATCAAAGGGAGAAACTACTGGCAGGCAACTGTATTACTGAGGAATATTCATGGGGATCTTGAAGTGCATGCTACATTGGAAAAAATAAAACATTTACAACAGCTTGGAGGAAAAAAACCCACCAAAATTTGTCTTTGGGTCTGTTCAGAAATAAATCTCAAGTTCTTGCAAAATGAATGAGGATTTTACATAAATTTTTATAGCCTGTTCCTAAACCTGCACTGTAGTAGATCTAGGCTAACAGAGAAATTTTCCTCGTGGTAATTTGCATTTACTTTTACTTGCCATTTCTTCTTCCTATAATAACAAAATCTACCTTTTAAAAAGTGCAAAGTTTACAGTTTATTTAAATTATAAATTTTCCATTCCCCATCCCCTATATATTTTTAAAGTGAAGGTTTATTAAGATTATAAGAATGTGACCTATTTAATTTTGTCCCTGGAAGAAAACATTGGCCATAGACACTCTTAATTCCTTAAAAAAAAGCACACACACACACACACACAACAAACAAATAGAATTAAGAGATGGAAAAGAAGGAAGCATAATAAGCACCCTGTGACCCTAAAATCTATTTGGGTTAATAGAGTTGTAAGGCTCAGGGGCACCCAGTCTGCCACATGCAAGCCATTGTTGCTCTGAGAATAAGAGAAGACAAAAGATGATGCTAGTCACGGGAAAAAAATCTTTCCTTACAGAAAAAATCAATCAAGGGCCACCAGCCAAATTGAGAAAATATTAAGAGTTTAGTTTACAAAAGTAAAACAAAAAAGCCAAAGAACTTGGGACAGTTGCACATGAGTGCTTGCTTACCCCACATCAGAGACATCTGAACTACCTCTGCTAAGCTCCTTCCTTTTGCTTGAGCAACTTTACCCTCCTTGGTCAACTCTCACGACTGATAAAATAACCCCTTCTGCTTTTTCCCCAAAAGACCATTTATTTAGTGAACAATCAATTTTTGACAACTTCAAGCCCTACTCTCATATCTAAGGTCCAATGCTTTCTAGGAGAGAAGCTGGGCCCCAATCCCCAAATATTTCAACAAATTTATAGATGAGAAAACTGACACAGCCAGAGCTGATCCAGGCTGGTCAGCAAACAGGGCAGCCCAAGACCTCTCAACCTCTTAATATGAAGTTGAGAACCTTCAAGAAGGCACACTTCCTCATCCAAGCCATTTCTATGTAATGTCAACCCACATGAGATACCTTAAGTAAGGGGCTAAAGGTCTTACATTAAAAAAGGAGATACCTGCTACCTGCACAAGATCATTAAAAATTTTAATACCCTGAAATGGCTAAACAGGTTTTTAATCAAGTGATGACCAAGCTGCTTTCTCAAGTGAAGACAGAGCATGACTATCCAGTGTACCTTTAGAAATTTCTCCATTCTCACTGAGGCCCCCACAAAGAGAGAGGGTGACGTCGGGCAAGTCCATAGCAGAATCCGAGAGGCACTCGGTGCCACTATCAGCAGCTGCGCTTCCCACAGACTGTGGGGACTGGGAGCCAGAGAGCGTGTCAGACTCAGGCCACTGCCTGGAGCCAGGGTCTGATTCACTGTAGGCAGGGAACAGGGAGAAAAAGATTTGCTTTATTACAACTTCTTGTATTCCTAACTTACTACACATCGTTCTCTGAGGGCTCAAATAACAAATCCCCTTAAAAAGGCAACAGATTGATCTATAATCAGACATAGTTTTTTTGTTGTTTTTTTTTCAAATATGTTTTTATTGATTTTTTAGAGAGAGGAAGGAAGAGAGAGGGAGAGAGAAACACTGATGTGAGAAACAATTGTCAGCTGCCTCTTGCATCCCCCCTACTGGATATCGGGCCTGCACCCTGGGCATGTGCCCTGACTGGAAATTGAACTGGGACCTGGCTGTCCATGGGACGACACTCAATCCACTGGGCCACACTGGCCAGGCAAGCATAGCTTTTCTTTTTTAAAAAATCTTTATTGTTGAATGCAAAATGTATTACAGATGTTCCACATTTTTCCCCCATTGACCCCCTCCTCCCCACTCCCGCCCCCCTCCTGCCTTTTCCCACACTATTGTTTGTGTCCATTGGTTATGCATATAACTTCTTTGGTTTATTTCTTCCCACCCTCTCAACCCCTTTCCCTTTGAGGTTTGTCAGTCTAGCAACGAATTTGTATTTCTTAATCTCTTCACCTTTTCACCCATTCCCCCAACCCCCCTCCCAACTGGCAACCAACAAAATGTTCTCTGTATCTATGAGAATGTTTCTGTTCTACCTGTTCATTTTGTTTGTAGAATACATCATTGATAGATATGTATTCATTGCCATTTTGTTTGTTCATATATTTTATCTTTTTCTTCATATAATAACGGTTTGGTGGTGATGAACTCCTTTAACTTTTACTTGTTTGGGAAAGTCTTTATATGGCCGTCGAGTCTAAATGACAGCTTTGCAGGATAGAGTAATCTTGGTTGTAGGTTCTTGCTTTTCATCACTCTGAATATTTCTTGCCACTCCCTTCTGGCCTGCAAAGTTTCTTTTGAGAAATCAGCTGACAGCCTTATGGGAACTCCCTTGTAGGTGACTAGCTGCCTTTCTCTTGCTGCTTTTAAGATCCTCTCTTTGTCTTGAACCTTTTGCATTTTGATGATGATGTGTCTTGGTGTGGGCCTCTTGGGGTTCATCTTGTTTGGGACTCTCTGTGCTTCCTGGACTTGTATGTCTGTTTCCTTTACCAAGTTAGGAAAGTTTTCTGCCATTAATGTTTCAAACAGGTTTTCAATTTCTTGTTCTCGCTCTTCTCCTTCTGGCACCCCCAAGATGTGAATGTTGGCACGCTTGAAGTTGTCCCAGAGGTTCCTCACACTATCCTCATTTTTTTTGGATTTTTTTTCTTTTTGCTCTTCTGATTGGGCATTTTTTGCTTCCTTATATTCCAAATCGATGGTTTGCTTCTTGGATTTATGTACTCTACTACTGAATCTGTGTAAATTATTCTTCATTTCAGTTAATGCCTCCTTCAATTCTGACTGTGCATCCATAATTTGACTGGTCCTTTTATATGCTCTAGAGGCCCTCACTAAGTTCATTGAGCATCCTTATAAGCAGTATTTTGAACTCAGCATCTGTTAGGTTGCTTATATCCATTTCGCTTAGTTCTTTTCTTGGGATTTTGTTCTGTTCTTTCATTTGGAACCTGTTTCTTTGTCTCCTCATTTTGGCTGCCTCCCTATGTTTGTTTCTGTGTATTACTTAACGAGAGGTATGGGGCTAGCTGACAGCAGATGCTGCTTGTTTGAAAGAATTTAGAAAAAACCTGAAGCAGGATCCAAGACAGGCCAATCCTATGGTTAAGCAAGTGGCAACAGCTTGGGTGGGCCTGAAAGTTGGGTGGGTTGGGGGGCCTCAGGGACTCACCAGGGCGGGGCTACCAGTGTGAGCCAGATTGCTGGAGTCCCAGATATGGCGGCTGTCTGCCTCCCCAGGGAAGGGCTCACCAAAGGAACAAAGGCCTCTTACAGCACGTTTGTCCTGGAGAAAGCCCCCTCTCCAGCTCTCACTCCATTGCCAAACAGCTCAGTTCTTCCCTGTATGTCTCTGGTGCCCCTCGAGCTGCCTCCCCTCCAAGCTTAGAGGGAGAGCCTCCGATAAGTTCATGCACGGGCCCTTTAAGGAGCTGCCTGGGGCTCCAGCCGCTTCAGCTTCCCTGAGCCTCAGTTCCCGTTGGTTTTTTCAGCCAGAAGTTATGGGGACTTCTCTTCCTGGCACTGGAACCCTGAGCGGGGCACCTGGTGTGGGACAGGGACCCCTCAGTCCTCAGGGAGGACCTTCCCAGCCGAGGTGTCCTCCTGATTTTTATCCGCCACACGTGGGTGTGGGACCAGCCCGTCTGGACACCGGCCTTCGCGCCTCCGGCCCTCCGCCCCTCCTACCAGTCTGGATGTGGCTGCTGCTTTAATTCCATAGCTGTAGGACTTCCATTCAGCTTGATTTCAGGCGGTTTTGAATGATGGTTGTTCTGTAGTTTAGTTGTAACTTTGATGTGGTTGTGGGAGGACGCAATACCGCGTTTACCTACGCTGCCATCTTGACCGGAAGTCAAGCATAGCTTTTCTTAAGTAGTGTTTAGAATTATGTCATAATGACAATAAAAATAACCTATAAGCACTACTGAGAAACTAACTTGAATACAGTAAATGTCACAAGAATTGCTGTAAGTTCATTATTCACAATAACACAAACATTTCAACTATAAACGTTTCTGATTTTAATTAAAGGAGTAAAAAGTTTTAAGCATTTATCTATAAATGACAGGGCAATTAAGAAAAATCTGATGTTTGGAAACCTTTTCATCTTAACTTCCTAGAAAAAGCTGTGGTACTAAACACATGCTAGAGAAAATTACTGTAGCCCAAAGCTGTATTATTTTTAAAAACAAGACTTTTCTAAATTTATATTACTCTACAAAATAGAACAAAAAAAATAAGAGAAAAGTCTCAGGAGGCTAGACCCACCATGAAAAGAAATATATTAGAAAATAAATTGTTCTTACATTAGTGTGAGGGCCAGAAAAAAATATGAGGTTATTCAATATTTTCATTTTTCTAGATAATAAGGCACAAAAGCCAGGTTTTAGGATTCTAAGGGAAACTGTAACGAAGCATAAATTTGAGAGAAAAAAAAAACAAAGAGATGACGCCTTAAGTTTCTTAGTCATGAATATTTAATTGCTCTATACCCTTTGAATAGATGTCACATTTATTGTTTTAGAATTTTTAAATTTTATTCAGAAAGCCAATATATTTAATGTATGTGGTCAATAAATACAATCTAATGTAGTTATGAGATCTTCAGAAAAAAATATCAAATTTGAGCAGTAGATGGCAGCAGAATACAGGTATGTAATAGCAAAAACCGCAGTTTCAAAAGCCCTAGTTTTGAATTTTTTTAAAAATATTTTTTATTAATTTTTTAGAGTGAGAGGAAGGGAGAGGGAGAAAGAGAGAGATATAGAAACAACAATGAGAGAGAACATAGATCGGCTACCTCCTGCATACCCCTCACTGGGAATCGGTCCTGAAACCTGGGCATGTGCTCTGACTGGGAATTGAACCGGCTACCTCTTGGTGCATGGATCAATGATCAACCAGTTAGGCACACTTGTTGGGCTAGTTTTGCATTTGAACCAACAAAAGATTTAGGTTTTTGGAAATGTTCTGTCTTAACAGCAATGCACGATATCACAATGCTGAAATTAAACCCAGAATGTTCTCTTCACTGGAAATGGTGAAAGAGCCAAAACCATTATAAGACAGCAAAGCCTACTACTATGCTGGGGCTGAGGGGAAAGGCTGACCCCACAGGTAAAACACAAATAGAAGGCTGCTATGTATTCACAAACTCCTATTTCCTCTTTATCCAGGGCACACAGCTAGGTCCCATTAAGTTTAGGTGTGGCCACGTGACCAGATGACTAACTTGCTGACCTGAAAACAACCCCATGTGATCCCCTCTTTTTTCCCTATTGAGGTCTTAAGGGGATGGTGGAACCTCAAGATGAAAGGAGTTTGTGATCCTGAATTCCTGTGTGCAAAGCTTCCCACCAAACACCAGCACTGGAATACAGAACAACATGGGTTTGAACAGTGCAGATACAGTCATACGTGGATTTTTTCCAATAGATATACAGTCAGTCCTCCAAATCCCTGGGTTTCACATCTGTGGATTCAACCAATCATGGATTAAAAAAAAGGTATTTTCTGGGGATGTGGAAGGCTGGCTGAATGCATTTTCCTACGCCATTTTAGATAAGTGACTTGAGCATCTGCAGATTTCGGTATCCGTGCTAAGCCTTGGAACCAATCCCTGTGGAGGGATGAATATAGTTAAGTTTGTGGGGAGTCAAAAGTTATATGTGAACTTTCAACTGCATGGGATGGAGGTTGGCACCAGTGCATTGTTCAAGAGTCAGCTGTAGAATCACATGAACAAGAAACAAACTTCTATTGTAATCCACTGAGGTCTTAAGTTTTATCAGAGCAGTTAGTGTCACTCTTAATCAATACAGGCAAGACACCACTTTACCTAACATGCTGCCAAATCCACAAGGGTGATGTGATTTAAAGTTTAATTACAAATACTGAATTATTTTAGTCAAGATAACAATGAACGCAATCAGAACAAAATACATGCTTATAAGCACACTTCGACAGTGCTCTATCTTTAATTAAGTATGAATTGTCTCAAGAAATAATTTGTTCAAGAGATTAAGAGGCTTACCTGATGAATGGCCATGATCTTAAACAGTAAAATTATAACAGAGCACAGTAGGACCCCATTGTTGATTTCCCCATATATTTTTTTGTTGTTGTTATTGTTAATGTTCACCCAAGGATATTTTTTCCATTGATATTTTAGAGAGAGTGGAAGGGAGAGAGAAAGGGTGGGGAAAGGGGGAGAGAGAGAGAGAGAGAGAGAGAGAGAGAGAGAGAGAGAAAGAGAGACAGAGACATCGATGTGAGAGAGACACATCAATTGGTTGCCTCCCACATGCACCCTGACAGGGGCAGGGGATTGAACCTGCAACCCAGGTACGAGCCCTTGACCGGGAATCAAACCTGTGACCCTTTGGTGCAGGGGCAGATGCTCTAACCACTGACTAACACTGGCCAGGGCTCCTCCCCCCCTTTTGTTTTTAACCCTCACCCGAGATTTTTTTCCATTTATTTTCCAATAGAGTGGAAGGGAGGGTCGAGAGGGAGAGAGAGAGAGAGATAGAGAGAGAGAAAAATATTGATTCGAGAGAGACACATCAACATGTTACCTCCCACATGACCCAACCAGGGCCAGGGACCCAACCACAACTGAGGTATGTGCCATCGTGCCCTTGACCGTGACTCTTTGTCCATGGGCAAATGCTCTAACTGCTGAGCCAAACTGGCCAAGGCCCCCCCCCCCCCCTTTTTTTTAAATTTATTTTTAGGAAGGGCTCTCAGAGAGATATCGAAGCAGGAGTGAACAGTGGATCAGCTGATCCACTTTCTTTTTTTTAAAATCCTCACTCAAGAATATTTTTTGCATGTTCTCTACCGGGGATTGAGCCAGCAACTGGGGCATATGCCCTGACTAGGAATTGAACCTGCCACCTTTCGGTGCACAGGCCGATACCTACTGAGCTGCAATGGTCAGGGCACTTTCCCCATTTTTTAAAAAAGGGAAACTAAAAAATCTGTCTTAGGAATCTCAATGTAAGTAAATGATTAAGGACTGAGAAATCTGAAAGACAATAATAATTCTAAGACAACTAACATTTTAACTTTCTTATTGAAATAAAATGGAGCAGTTTCAGTTCTCACACCTTAAAAACCCAACTATTATTTCAAATGAATTAAATATATGAGACAAATTTAGAGAGCCAGGAGGAAGGAGTTTAAAGACCTTCCAAAAAATATCTGTAAAAAATTAAAAATAATTTTCATATCAATCCCATCTTTCTATTTTAAATAAAAACTTAATGTTTTCAATAATCTATTTAAAAGTGTTTAATTATGTGTGCCTACAGTTCAGTATATTCAAGCCATACTTTCTTTTTTTTAAAATCCTCACTCAAGGATATTTTTTGCATTTATCTTCAGATGGAGCGGGAGGGAGAGAGAGAGGGGGGAAAGAGAAAGAAAAACGTCGACACGAGAGAGACATATTGACTGGTTGCCACCCACACAGTCCCAATCAGGCAACTGAGGTACGTGCCCTTATCGGGAACTGAACCCGGGTCTCTCTGGTCCGCGGGCCAACGCTTTAACCGCTGAGCCAAACTGGCCAGGAAATAAAGCCATACTTTCCATGGGGAAAATTGTTCGTTTGTTTTTGTAATCATAGCGTATATTGGAATGGAATTCCCCGAAGAATGAAAATGAACTTGGGAACTAGTACAAGTATATCTATCCTACCTGAGGTTTCAGAGTTATTTAAGGGGATATTTGTGAGGGAGAGGGAGGAAGAGTGACAGGAAGTGGAGTGCACAGGTCAGCTGGAATGGTGCCTCACCAGATCCAGTCTCAAAGTCAGAAAAAGCCTGGGAGCACAGACTCATCAAGGGAGTGAAGGTATTCTTTGTAAAACATTTTTCTGTAAAGATACATTACCTTGAAAACACATAAAAAATGAGACAAATGCTAAAGAATTTTCTTAAGCATGATGATTTGCATTAATGACTGTAATAGCTAATCTGATGTCATACCCATTGATATACCCTATGACTAGTGTATCTCTAGATGCACTGAAAATTTCTTCATAAATAGGTAAGTTACTAGTTTCAAATCATTATAGTCAAAACACACACACACAATTTCTGAATCTTCTAAATCTGAATCAATCATGTAACTTAGCCAAAGGGTATCATCATCTTGTTCCTTTTTCTCAGATGAAATGTTTTACTCTAGAAATAGCTAGAGTATGGCAGAACTGTTCACCCTTCAATACACAAGAAATGCACTACCTTTTAGGAAAATAGAGAGCTGCAACTTCAGGTTCTAGGGCCTTTAAGTCGTCTAGGTAAATATCATCAGGTCCCTGGTGTTGGCTTCTCTTGTGGACACCTGTTTTTATAAGAAAAACACATCAGAGAAAGAAGTTAGTTATTTTTCATTTACAACTCTGCAAGAAAACAAAGGTTTGCAAACAATAAAACTAGCCACGGTTGAATTGGGCATTATTTTTTAAAGTGTCACATAACCTTTTCTTTTCTTCTTTTTAAAATTATTTATTTATTTATTATTTTTTAATCCTCACCCAAGGCTATTATTCTATTTATCTTCAGATAGAGTGAGAGAAAGGGAGAGAGAGAGAGAATGAGAGAGAGAGAGAGAGAGAGAGAGACGGAGGGAGGGAGGGAGGAAGGGAGGGGGGGAGGGGGGAGGGAGAGAAACTTCGATGTGAAAGAGATGCATCAACTGGTTGCCATCAACTGGTTGCCTCCCGCACAACCCCGACCAGGGCCGGGGACAAACTGCAACCAAAGTACGGTGCCCAGAATTGAACCCTCAACTCATTGGTCCACGAGCCGATGCTCTAACTGCTGAGCCAAACCTGACAGGGCAAATAACCTTTTCACTTGTGTTGGTTCTCAGTCACCCATGCCAAAGGAAGTGAAATTCAGGGTTACACATATAACAGTTGTTGAATAAACATATGCTAATTTACTCATTCTTTCATTTGCTGATATGAATAACCCTAGCCCACAAAATAATTTATATTTGACAATAAAGTTTTTTATCAATCATGACCAAACTTGATGAAATCACTGGCATCAAAGAAAGAAGCCATTACTCTAAAACTATGAAGGAAAGATTGCTGGCGAATAGGATATTCACATGGTGCCAAAGTATTACCTTCTAATTGCAAAAGGACAAAAATCCTTTACAATGAATAAATTTGGTAGACAATACTTAAACAAGTGATCATGTTTAGCATCACTAATTGTGAGACAGTATGAGATGCAATATGAACTACCCAATATATCCCATAAAGTAATCTTTAATTCAAAAATAAAAAAAATATGTAACCCAAATCTAATTAAGCCTCTAGATCTGGATTACATATTATAGTAGTTACCAGCCACATGTGGCTCCTGAGAACTTGAACTGTCCTAGTCTGGTGTGAGGTATCTAAAATGTATTTAAAAATGCATAAACCACACACCTGATTTCTTAGAATTACTTTATAAAACTGCGTAATTTCAGTAATTTTTATATTGATTACATGTTCAACTTATAATACTGTGGCTTACACTATTATAAGTTGAACATGTAATCTATTTATCTATTTAAGATAAAATAGAGCCCTGGCCAGTTTGGCTCAGCGGTTAGAGCGTTGGCCTGTGGTCTGGAGAGACCTGGGTTCGGTTCCCGCTAAGGGCACATACATACCTCGGTTGCAGTTTGTCCCCGGCCCTGGTTAGGTCATATGGGTGGCAACCACTCGATGTGTCCCTTTCACGTCGATATTTCTCTCTCTCTCTCTCCCTCCCACTCTATCTGAACAAAAAGTGGAAGGAATGTCCTTGGGTAAGGATAAAAAAAATAAGTAAATAAATATATTAATTAAAAACTACCTTGAAAATTAAAAAAAAAAGATAAAATAGAATATATTAATAAACTTAATTTCACTTATTTATTTTTTAGTCTTTTAATTTGTGAGAAGACTTAAAATTAATATATGCAATTCACATTACATTTCTAGTGGACAGAGCTAACTTCCAGTTGAAGGAAATATAAGGATGTCACCTTGAAAAAGAAACAAACAAAAAAACCCCAAAACAATCAGATATATCAAGAATGTAAGAAAGTATAGCAGACAATTGGCTGGGCTCTTCAAAAGGTCAATATCTTGAGTGGAGAGGAGGAAAAAGGGGTAGTAGTGTGTGTTTCCATATGAGGGAGTGAGTGTGTGTGTGTGTGGGTGTGTGTGTGGGGTGGGGGCTATTCTAAATTAAAAAATGCAACATGTAAAGTTTAATGAGATCTTAAGTTTGGAAAAAACAGCTTAAAAGCTATTGTTGGTATGTTTAGGAAAATTAAACATAATTTTTCAGGATTCCATCTCACTTTATTGACATACCTTGTCAATAAAGTAGTTAATTTTACTCATTAACTTATTTAAATATACATACATATATATGTATATATATATAAAAAAAATATATATATGTATATATATTTATATATATTTTTTTTCCCAATAAATGCTCTCAAGGGCCTACTCAGTATCAACAGTAGGGAGAGAGCAGGGAGTAAGCCAGAGTCCTGCTCCAATGGATCCTGAAGTGTGATGGGCAAACCATATAAAACGAAGAATCCTAATAGTGTGTGACAGGTTCTGATCAGGGAGTACAAATATAATGGTAACCATTACATATTATTTGAAACATTGAAATAATTAAAAAAAAATTTTTTTTAATCCTCACTTGAGGATAGTTTTCTATTTATCTTCGGATAGCATGGGAGGGAGAGAGAGGAAAGGAAGAGGGAGAAAGAAACATCGATGTGAGAGGGACACATCGACTGGTTGCCTCGTGCACAACCCCAACCAGGGCCAAGGCAACCACAACTAAGGTACGTGCCCTTGACCAGAATCGAACCCACGATTCATTGGTCCACGGGCCAATGATCTTACCACTGAGCCAAACTGGCCAGGGCTGAAACACTGAAATAACTTATCATCTAAATTTAGATTATCTGATGCCAAATTAAACACATGATTACCTTTCTTCTTTGATGGCGAGTCTACTTTAGTTGTTGGTTTTGATTCTGAGGGAGCCTCCACTAACGACGGGTTAGGAAGGTGGTCTGCATCTAACAGAGATGAAATCTGAGGCTCAAGGGGAGGCTCAAGAAGTTCTGCAGCGCAAGTTGCATCGCTGATCTGCTTACACAGGGCTCTGGGTTTGGGTTTCACTATGGTACAGACCGTTTCTCTCATGGACGCATCCTTCTCAAGTTCACTTACGAGGTGGTCCTCACTGGGAATGACCCGAAAATGGGTATTTTCTGATGGTGTAATCATAGCTGTCCTAGGATGATGGTCAGATCTCTCTCGCTTGCTGACCTAAAAAAGTTGATTTAAAAATTAAACTACTTTTGAAAGTGTTTGTTATAGTATATTTCTTAAGTTGGATGCAAGTAAATGTGCTCATTTTATTTAAACAACACATTTAGTAAACATTACTTTCTATGTGTGAAATATTTCATAATTAAAAAGTGGAAAAACTAATAACTGCATTTTATTCAATATCACATTTATAAAAGTTATATTTATAACTGTGCTACTATAAAGAGTTCAATACTGGAGAAGTCTGAGGAAACAGATGACAATTTCTAGATACGAAGAGGGAGAATATTCATTTTCAGGGAGAAAACTTGAGCACTTCAGGAAAACTTAGCCCTGTCTGTACTATCTGCAGGCTCTGTTAAAACAAGATGTCGAATTATAATGTTGTACACCTGAAACTTAAATGTTATAAACCAATGTTACCTCAATTAAAAAGAAAAGAAAAAGTAAAAGTGGGCAGTGAAATCTCAAATGCACACATATAAGCAAAATGTATATCTTTAAAAAACTAGAGATCTAAACATTTCCTTTTCCAAGAGACACAAAAAGACAAACACCGTATGATTTTACTTATATGTGGAACCTAAAAAATAAAACTAACAAAATGAAACAGAAACAAACTCATAGATACAGAAAACAGACTGATAGTTGCCAAAGGGCAGGAGGTTGGAGGATTAAGCAGAAAAGGGGAAGAGAATTAAGAAATACAAACTTCCAATTATAAAAAAGTCACGGGGATGTAATGTTCAGCATAGAGAATGGAGTCAGTAATATCATAATAACTAGGTATGGTGACAGATGGTTACCACAGAGTTATTGTGGTAGTCACTTTGTGAGGTATATAAATGCTGAATCACTATGTTGTACACCTAAACTAATATAATATTGTATATGAACTATAAAGTAAGTTTTTAAAAATAAGGAAAAAATCTTAAAGTTGAGTTAATTCACATACACAAAATAAAAGCAGAGACTCTATAAATGAATAAATAAGAAATGTATCTTTCCAATTATTTCTTCTTTCATTATGAGTTGGCAAAAAAGCTTTTACAATCAATCCCGTTTAAAATTTCATTGTAAAAATTTCTTTAGATACATTTTAAATTTTCCTTACTATAATGTTAATTAACAATCAACATTTACTAAATAGAAACAGAAAATAATTACATTTCTTTTGTTGTAAACACAGTGCAAAGATAAAAAATGGTATCTTTGAATTTACTTGTGACCCCATGAGGGTACTACCACCATTTATGTTCATATGAGCTCAGTCAGATATCACCCCTTTACTTATGGATGATGAACACACTCTGTAGGCAAGTAAACCCTAGTACCTTGGTGGACTCTGGGAACCCGCCCCATGTCCACTCCATGTGGGACTCGGATCTTAGCAGGCTCTCGGCGGGTTTCACCTCCAGCTCTGAATCACTCTTCGGACACGCTGGGGAATAAGGGCTGCAAAATACAGTACAAGAAATACAATGACTTTAAAGTTAGGAACTTTAGTGTTGCTGAGCTCGACAGATTTAAATAACTATAAAGTTTGAATATATCAACTGTATCCTGCGGATATAAACACTCTATTAAAGAAAATGTTAATTATTTCTTCCTCTAGAGTTTTTTTAGTAATAATAAAAACAGCCCTGGCCGGTTGGAGCGTCGGCCTGTGGTCCAGAGAGACCTGGGTTTGGTTCCTGCTAGGGGCGTGTACCTCAGTTGCAGTTTGTCCCCGGCCCTGGTTGGTCGTGCACGTGGCAGCCACTCGATGTGTCTCTTTTGTGTCGATGTTTCTCTCTCTCTCTCCCTCCCACTCTGGACTGCAGGTCGACGTTCTAACCACTGAGCCAAACTGGCCAGGACTCCCTCCCACTCTATCTGAACAAAAAATGGAGAAATGTCCTCGGGTGAGGATAAAAAAAACAAAACAATGCCCACTAGTATTTATGGTGGACTTTCTGGTCATAAATATTTTCTATGCATCATCTTATCTGATTCTCACAAGAAATCAGTAAGAAAGGTAATTTTACAGGAGAGGAAATGCATGGAAAGATGGATTAAATTAACACTACTACATGAGAGAAACTGGATTTGAACACAGAATAAAATGTGACTGCATAATTCTTCACAGTGTTATACACAGTATAGTTAATAGTTGACATGAAAAGATTAGAACTTAAGGATTGTAGAAGGCCAAATTCTATGCTGATTATACAGATATACAGTGGCCAACACAGTGAGAGTAAGTTAAATCAAGCTTAGGAACAAAATAATTATTGAAAGAAAGGTTCCATATTCATGTTAAAAATACACATTTAGTGCCTCTACTGTATGAGAAATGGGAAATACTGTTACTGTCCAATCACAGAAAAAGTTATTCAATATATCTTTCCTTTAATAAACTGAGAAATTTTGAAAATACTTACTTGTCCAAAGGGGACCAATCTCCATCAGATAAGGGGTAGTGATCTCCAGAATGGAAGAGCAGAGGCTCCTTATATTCTTCTTCCTTTAAGGAAGCATTTGAAGATCCTCTATGAAAGGGGGGAAGAGTACAAAGAAAGTCAGGAACAATGACACTATGTCACCTTAAAAATATCCCCCAAATTTACTGACAAATCATCTAAATGATACAAATGAAAAATGGCCAGGTGAGTAATAACTAACCCTCTTAAAAGGAAAATATGAAGGAGAAGGGGGATTCACAGATGTCACCCACCATACCCTACTACAATCACTATTTAAATATGGGATAAACAGAGGAGGAAAGAAAAGAAGAAGTGATTAAAAACTCATTTTTTACCTCCTTTAGGGATAACTGATTCAGAAGCTGGAAGAAAATTGAGGCTATATGTATATTGCATTCAATCCTTACACATCTGAGGTAATAATATCCTATTTTGGATATTAGGTAATCAAGAATCCAGAGAAGTTTAGCAACTTGATCAAACTAAAAAAGCTAGTATGTCATTGGATTCAAAACAAGTAAGCCCTTGTTCTTTCCACTACCCTCTCCTGTGTATTACAAAAAATATAAGAATATCAGCTGAAGAGTTATGGCTCTAAAACTTAAAAATCACATCAAAATTACAACTAAACTACAGAACAAGTATCATTCAGAACTGCCTGAAATCGAGCTGAATGGATGTCCTACAACTACAAAATTAAAGAAGCCACATTGAGATTGTTAGGAGGGGCAAAGGGGATGGGTTGGTCCCACACCCACGTGTGGTGGATAAAAATCAGGAGGACACCTTGGCTGTGAAGGTTCTCCCTGGGGAGTGAGGAGTCCCCATCCCACACCAGGCTCCCAGCTCAGGATTCCAGCGCCAGGAAGAGAAGTCCCCATAATTTCTGACTGTAAAAACCAGTGGGAACTGAGGCTGAGGGAGGCTGAGGCTTCTGAAACCCCAGGCAGTTCCTCTTAAAGGGCCTTACTTGGACTTGCTCCCTCTGAGCTTGGAGGGAGGCAACTGAAAGGCACCAGACATACAGGGAAGAACTTAGTTGTTTGGCTGGAGAGGCAGCTTTCTCTCGGACAGACGGATAGATGTGCTGGCAGAGGCCTTTGTTCCTTTGGTGAGCCCTTACCTAGGGCAGCAGACGGCCACCATACCTGAGACTCCAGCAACCTGGCTTACTCTGTTTACCCTGCCCTGGTGATTCCCTGTGGTCCTGCCACAACCAACTTTCGGGCACACACAAGCTGTTTCCAATGGCTTTACCATAGAATTGGCCTGTCTTGGATCCTGCTTCAGATTTTCCTAAAATCTCTCAAACAAGCAACATCTAGTCTCAGTGAGCCTCATACTTCTCACTAAGTGGCCCCAGGCTTGGCACTAGAAGCCTTGGTTCACAACTTGGCTTTTCCTGGGCACCTGAGCCCAGCACAAGAAGCAGCCATCAGCAGATCACGTTGTAGTTTATGCCGGGTGGACCCAGACAGAACACAGGCAGTGGCTGACCCTGCCCCAGAACCAGCACACCCAGTGGACAGCTTCAGACCACATTGATGCACTACCACCCAACTACCTCCACAAGTGACACGCTCAATAAGTGGACTCAGTGGATACCAAAACCCTGATGCAGTAAGTCTTGCTCTGTGTGGTGGGCCTCTGCACAGCTTTTCCTCCAAGGTAGTCAGAGGCCAGTGGTCAGTGAGCACAGCCAGTCCTTATAGCTGATCAAATCCCTCCCACTGATATGCCAAAAGCAATCAAGACTCAATTACAACAGAAGAGTATACAGTCTACACTAGGTGTGTACCTTGAGGGCCTAGCTGGGGTGATCAGGGAGGCTGTGCCACTGAATCCTACAGGACACCTACAACAATAGGCCACCCTCCAAAGCCTAAGAGACATAGCAACTCTACCTAATACATAAAAACAAATACAGGGAAGCAACAAAAAATGAGGAGACAAAGAAACATGTCCAAAAAGAAAAAGAACAAAACTCCAGAAAAAGAACTAAACAAAATGGAGATAATCAATCAGTCAGACGCAGAGTTCAAAAGAGAGTTATAAGAATGCTCAAAGAACTTAGTGAGACCTTCAAGGGACTTAGTGAGAACATCAACAGCATAAAAAAGACCCAGTCAGAAATAAAGGATGCACTAACTGAAATGAATACTTTACAAAGAATCGATATAGTAGAGCAGGTAAAGTCAAGAAGCAAACCATCAATTTGGAATATAAGGAAGCAAAAAACACCCAATTAGATCAGCAAAAAGAACAAAGAATCCAAAAAAAATGAGGACAGTGGAAGGAGCCTCTGAGACAACTTCAAGTGTGTCAACATTCACATCATGGAGGTGCCAGAAGAAGAAGAGAGCAAGAAATTGAAAAGCTATTTGAAAAAATGACAGAAAATGTCCCTAACTTGGTGAAGAAAACAGACATACAAGTCTAGGAAGCACAGAGAGTCCCAAACAAGATGAACCCAAAGAGGTCCACACCAAGATACATCATCATCAAAATGCCAAAGGTTAAAGACAAAGAGAGAATCTTAAAAGCAGCACGAGAAAAGCAGTTCGTTACCTACAAGGGAGCTCCCATAAGACTGTAAGCTGATTTCTCAAAAGAAACCTTGAAGGCCAGAGAGGAGTGGCAAGAGATATTCAAGGTGATGAAAAGCAACGCCCTATAACCAAGATTACTCTATCCTGCAAAGCTATCATGTAGGATCGATGAACATATAAAGAGTTTCCCAGACAAGAAAAAGCTAAAGTTCATTACCACCAAACTAGTATTATATGAAATACTGAAGGGTCTTCTTGAAGGAGAAGAACAAGAATATGAACAATAAAATGGCAATTAATACATATCTCTCAACAATTGAATCTACAAACAAAATAAGCAAGCAGAACAGAAACAGACTTATATAGAGAACTTTTTGTTGCTTGGCAGATGGGAGGGTGCTGGGGGGATGGCTGAAAAAGATGAAGAAATTAAGAAGTAGAAATTGGTTGTTAGACTGATGAACTTCAAAGGGAAGTGGGGATGGAGGGCGGGATGAGATAAACCAAAGAACTTCTATGCATATACTCGTAACCAATGGAAACAGACGACAGTGTGGTGAAGGCAGGAGGGGGGCGGAATTGGGAAGGAGGGGGTCAATGGAGAAAAAAAGAGGGACATTTGTAATACATTTAACAATAAAGTTTAAAAAAAAACCAAAAAACTTAAAAATACCCTAAATACCTTAAAAAACCAGAACCTATTTCTTCTTTGTTTGGCCCAAGCATTATCTGAGAACTTTCTCTTTACTGAGAATCTACATGATGTGGAGATGTGAGGATGATGATGTAAAAACAAGATGTTTTTAAAATTCATATACAGCTCTAGTCGTTTTGGCTCAGTGGTTAGAGCATCGGTCTGCGGATCAGAGAGTCCGGGGTTCAATTCCCACTAAGGACACGTACATGGGTTGCAGTTTGTCCCCAGCCCCAGTTGGGGTCATGTGGGTGGCAACTACTCGATGTCTCTCTCTCATGTCGATGTTTCTTGTTCTTTCTCCCTCCTGCTCTATCTCAAGATAAATGCAAAAATGTCCTCAGGTGAGGATAAAAAAATAAAAATAAAAAATAAAATTCATATACAGACCTTGAAGCCATAGGTGGTTGAACTAATGCTAAAAAGGTTTTAATTAATTTACCCCTTGGGTTTCTTGAAATCACAGTTAATATAACTAAAGTGCCATATAACCTTAAAACATCCCTCAGAAGCACTGTGGGCCCCTGTTTTTCATCTATAGTTGTAAATTTATCACTTGTCCTGCCTATTTCACAGAGTTGATGTAAGATTTATGTGGTGTGTCATGATGAAAGCTCTGAAAAGTGTAAAGCACTATATTGTAGAAGTTTTAGAGCATGTTATTGAAAATTCAATGTTCTACCAGAACAATATTAAAGGTAAAATGAGAATATCATTTAATTTGTTAGACTAAAAACAGGTGTATAAACCAGTTTATCAGTTTTTAATACTACTTTTCGTCCTTTATATCTTAATTTAACACGCTCTCCTTTATCACTAATTCTGACATGTAACAGTTTTTCCACACAGCAGCTCCTTCTAAGTCAAGGTTTTCTACTCCAATCTTCTTTTCTTTTTTTTTTTATCCTCACCTGAGGACATTTTTGCATCTATCTTCAGATAGAGCAGGAGGGAGAGAGGCAGGAAGAGAGAAACATCGATGTGAGAGAGACACATGGAGTGGTCACCACCCACATGACCCCAACTGGGGCCAGGGACAAACTGCAACTGAGGTACGTGCTCTTAGCGGGAACCAAACCTGGGACTCTCTGGTCCGTGGGCCGACGTTCTAAGCACTGCGCAAAACCAGCCAGGGCTAATCTTCTTTTGCTCAGAGAATTAACTCTGGCATTCAATCTCATTCAAGGGGAGAAAAACATAAACTTGAAAAAGGCAGACATCTAGGTAAAAACACTCTTGTTTCTTAAGAAAGAAAATAAAATGGTAAAAACTGAAAGGGGAAAAGATGCTTATGATCAGTTGTTATTTGCCAAATTTAAAAGATAGTACACTTTGACCTATCATTATTTCTATACGTGAAAATGGTTTAAAAAGAACAATGTAAAAGCCACACACATTATTTTAATAAAAAATATTTTTGGAACACACTTCACTGCAGCATAAGAGGTAATCCCAAGAAGAGTTCAGCAAAGCAAACTGAATTTAGTAAAGTACTGAAAGGGAGATAGATTAGTCACCATTAAGAATTTAAAACCCAAGGGAGATATGAAATTATCATCTCTGGGTATATCCTGACAAAAACAGAACCCATTAATTTAGACCCATTAGCCCACAACTGTTCTCAACCTGTGGGTTGCGACCCCTGTGGGGGTTGAACAACCGTTTCACAGGGGTCACCTAAGACCACCGGAAAACACATATACCGCTGGTATAGCCATCCCCAGGCAGGTCCGCCCGTATGCAGATATACACCCACACACAACATGAGAAACTGTATTAAAGGGTAACGGCATTAGGAAGGTTGAGAACCACTGCTTTAAAGT